TGTCCTTCAAAGTTACGTTGTGCAACAAACGCACGCATGTGCGCCACCGGGATCAACAACTTTATTTTTGCACGTGCGTCCATTATCGGTGAAGTGCCGCTTCAATTTTAAAGACATATTGGTACGCGAACTATTTCTTGGCTCCTCTCGAAGATGAGTCTCCGCTCTCGAGGCAATTTCATTCGTGAATGGCCGTATTGCGCCCTATTATTCGAAACGACGTAGCGCTCGTACCGCTCGTCGAATAAATATCGTCGGAAAATAAATAAAGTAGCAATAGAGATCTACGATGTCAATCTGAAGCCGTTGGAACGGATGCAGTTAAGCGTTAAGCCCCGGCGCGTGCCAGTGTTCGACAATTTTGTCTACCGTCGTAAATAACAGTGCCGTTCACATCAATGAAACACAGATCAAGGTATTTCAGTTTTTTTTTCTCAATGCTCCTGCTCTCGCATCTTCTCTGTTACTGCATCTTTTTTCTTCCTGCCAATAACGGCTCAACGTTAATTACTAAAGCAAAAATGACACGAGAAGAAGAGACTTGTACGACATTTAAGGCTAGATTTTGAAACAATATAGCATCAAAATTAGACATAGGAGCGGTTTATTGTAACTGTCAAAAATACGTATGAAAAATGAATTTCACAATGTTCACTTTATGAATATTGTGTCGTCGGGGTCATTGTTACTTTTTATTTTCATCGAATCATTTGCTTTGCCTTTAAAGCTAGTTATTGAACATAGTTTCTTGTAATCGAATATTTTTAAAAGGCTTACACAAGACGAGTAAGCAAGGAGTCTTTCTTAACAGTGAGAAAAAGTGAGATATTTTGAAACAAGTGCGGAAAAGTGAAAAAAGTGAGTCGCCCCCATGCTGCGTAAAAATGCATTGCACAATCTTAGTAATCATTTCTATTTCCAGTGAGAAATTTTTCGAGGTTTCTATTTGACTCGACGAATTTTATCCTTGACTCGTTAAGACTAATAACATCGTATCGCATGATCCACTTCATTAATCTTATAGCGAGCTACGAGCTCCGACGGTTACGGAGGAAATGATCTAAATGTAATAATACACACACGAACTGACTCGTCCGAAAAAATAGCTATCGACCATTTAATCCTCGGAAATACTCAGCGTAACGAGGAACTGCTTCAGCGTCGCGTGTTTATACAGCGTTTCGGGATTGAATGTGAGTATATCTTAATGGAAAATCATCGAAGATCACCGACAGATCACTGTAGGGTGACTTGATCCTCTGCCAGCGAGGAAGAGAGGAAGCGCAGACCTTTGGCAGAACCGCTTTTTCGCTAGCCGGATTATGTGGCGTAGGATAACGTTCCACAATCACGCGATGACTCTCCACCTTTTAACCCCAGGGCTAAGTACGTCTTAGTTACCGCACAGTGAAAGCTATCTTCTTTCCTTCCTCCCCCTCTCTCTCTCTCTCCCTCCTGTTCTTTCTCGTTCGCTCTCTTTCCCGCTTTCCACGCGGTAATTCCTCGCGCTCGTACATCTTCATTCCCTTCGTCATCTCTTAAACATTTGAGATTTTATCACAAAGTGCACCCTCCTGCGCATCCAAAACACTGCTTATAATCAGCGAGCTTTCGTCATGCGACGTGAAAGTGTCAGTATATAATAAACTATCTCCACATTTCTACTGTGCTCTTTACAGGCCGATGTTCTCAGAATGGAATCTCTTGGCGGCAGAAAAATAGAACAAAAGAACCGCCGAAAGATGAGATCCTTCAAGACGCGACAACGAAACACCGAAATTTCGCGAGAAGCAAGCGAAAGGGAAAAACGAAAAAAAGAAGAGATTTCGGAAATTTCATTTCGCAAATAATTTGCGCAAGGGAGTAATGAAAATAGTACGGACGACTCTCTTTCTCTCTCTCTCTCTCTCTCGCGCGCGCACGCGTACGAGGTAATGGGCGAGAGCGCGCGGTGACATCACGGAGTAATACATTTGCATGATATTTCTCTGCTTAAACATCGTCAGAAAGAAAATTCCCGCAATACGGCGTGTAAACTTTAATATCGGCGCACGACAGACTGCGAAGTAGCATCGAGACGGAAAAGAATTATCACCGCAAAGCACGTTACAAAGTTTCAACTTCGTGGGAGAAGCGACCGCCGCCTTCTCTCTTGTGGCGCGGTATCTCTCATCTATAAATTATAATATGTAAATTGGCGGTAACGAGGAAGGAGGGAGGGTCTCGGGTACTCGATACGCATTTACGGTGGTAGATAGGTGGTCTGGCAATTACAGCGGCTTACTGTACATACAAATTGCGTTCTCTCTTTAGTACCATTTACCACCCTCTCTGGCACGGTCGCGGTGGCCCCGCACCGAAATTCGCCGTGTCGAGAGAGAGAGAGAGAGAGAGAGAGTCCGCGCAGTTATATGAAACCAGGCACTACCGAGGAATTACCGAAGTAAGAAGTCGCCTTGATAGTCTGCCTCGCAATTTTCTTTTTTCCACTCCGTCCCTCCTCCCCGGGTAGCACCGTCGTTTTAAGTCCCTCTCGTTCGTCCTTATGGAATTATTCTTCTCCTGGTATCGCGCCGAGGAATTTTCCGGCCAAACAGAATGCAGGCGTTGAATAAGATATTCTTTTTCGCGCGCGCACACACAGTCGCGAGAGATTTATTTATCTCTTCGTTGTAATTTATGGTAGAATCATATTCCACGGTAGAATTATCTTAATATGTCGTTATGCTAATAAAGAGATCGGATGTTCTTAACGCAAGTCGGAGAAGCGCTCGTTTGGCGGGGAAATCCCCCCGACTCCCGCGACTTTCTTCGCCCTGTCCCGCTCTTGTTTTCCCTCGGAAACTTTCCGTTTGAAACGGAACGAATTGTTGAAACGTAAAAGGAGATTAAAATCGCGACGGCGCAATTAAAATCGCGAGGACGCAATAAGAGCGGGATATAATGCGCGATCGGGAAACAAGATTTAATTAGAAATGAAAATATTTAACGCACTTTGCTTAATTACTCTTTCGAATTGCGATATTTACTATCGCGACTGTGCAACAACGTGCCGCCTCTTATCACCTCTCTCCCCGGTCCTTCATGATTCGAGAAGCGCTGCGTTGTTCTCGAGATGCGCAGTGAAAATCGGAATTGATCGCGCGGTAAATGCGCCAAACGAAATTGCTAAAACCGGTCGAGGCTATAAAAAGCGGTAAATCCGCATTTAATCCGCCGGTTAGATACGAGCGTATTATCTGACTTATGAATTCGTCGCCTCGCTATTGCACTTTAACGCCACGGAAATCCGTCGGTCTCAGTTTTATGAATTTCCACGCGAAATCGCCGAGCGATGCGACCGTAAAACCGATCGGTCTGTCTTCGAATTGATTTTTGATTCTCAATTTCCAAAGCATTCGATGTAAAGCCGCTCGACACTCTTTTCCGTATGAGCGGTGTCAGCGAATGTATTATTCAGTACATTCTGTACACACAGAGATTTCGGTCTCTCGCGGTGATATAAAACTGGCAAGATATCGGCGGCACTTCGCGCCGCGACACGGCAGAATTGCGTGATAGTGGAAGTATCGAGTAGCGACGAAATTGATAGCCTAAATGCATCGTGGATTTCGCGTGCGCTTGCTCTGGCAGTCGTTCACGATCGCTCACAGAGCATACTAAAACGCGCACGCGGTAAGGGTAAACGTACCAATGGCCGTACATGTGCCTAGTCGCCGGCCATCGATACGGGAATTTTAACTTCGTTAATCGTCTAGTCGTTAAACAAAACAAATGACGCTCACGCGGCCGGTGATTTATATGTCGGAGAAAAAATTTCATGTCGCGTCTGTAAATATTGATTTAGTCTTAGAGACATATATCGCGTCATTTATGCACACGTGTGAAGGTTTTTCTCGATTTTCAGACCTCGTATATGGCACAGATGCCGCGAAATGAAGAATATTTCCTTCACGGGGGAAAATAATTTGCTGGCACAGCAAATTTTATGCTGTCGTCGCAAAATCTGCCAGTTATTACGTAAACGGTAAAACGATTTGTTAAGAATACTAATTGCCATTCGCTGAATTATTTTATTGGTTAGGAAGAAATTCGACTGTGATGACGGAATATATATTTTTGTGAAACGTACCTAAATTTTCTTATCGATTTATTTGCTAGGAATAAAATTTTATTTCGCCGTAATTAAACGTACGTTTATTTCAGTGAAGTAAACCTTATATTTCACAAATACATTTTTAAGTCTTTTTCTCAGTGAACAACGGAACAGCAGAATTATTATCTCTCCGTGTTCACTTCTGCGCACCTCACTTGAAGAAGGGATACATTTCTGCGCGAGAGAAAATCAATTGAAATTCGAACGTCACATTTTACACGTTCGGCCATTCGTACATTCACCGTGCGCGTTCGAGCACGTTACCGAGGCCATGTGTCCACTGTACAGATGGATAACTAAAATAGACATAGACACCTAGTTGAGATTCGGGTCAGCGGCATGGGAGCGTTCCCTTCCTACCCCTCATCCGTCGTTTCTCTTGGGCATCGGAACATCGGTCGACGAGGGGGCGGAAGAAAGCGCAGGGGGGAAACGTTGGACAAATTATCCGCCTGTCTCGTCCTCCCGAACGTCGGGTCCGCGTCGTTGGGCTATCCTGCCATCCTGCGGAGGAAATCCCTCCGCGAAAACCCCGCGTCCTAATAGCCGCCTATGGGGACGCGACGGGACTCCCGATGGACCGGACGAAATCTCGTGCATTGTGCAATTCGGCCCCGGCCCTCCGCCAACCAACCACCCCCTTCCCTGTCTCCGTCTCATCCTCCCTTACGCCACACTCGCCCTTAACATACACTCCGGGATCTGTCGTGTCTGCGAGAGGAAGGGTACGCTCCTTCCAATTTGCCAGGGTTGTGCATTCGACGGGAGATCGGAAGATATTAGGGGAAGAAAATTCCTTCTCTTCTGCGCCTCATCCTGCTCACCCCGCCACCACCCTCTATTACCCTATCTTTTCTTCTACCGTCTACCTTCCGCGACGCACAGGTGCGCCTGGGTTCCCGACTGCGCCGATCTTTCGGCAGACCTCGCTGCACCTGGAATTGTCGTGTGTGTGTGTGTGTGTGTGTGTGTAAAACAAGCAAAAAGAAGAGTACGGTACCGAGTGCACATGCATTAAACGAGCCATTGCTGTCTACGTACGCTTGAATCAAGCGCCTTAGCGTGTCTACACGATTCTGGCTCATCATTGCACCGGCAAAATAATATTAAGTTGGGGAAAAAGAAATCCATTATTTTTTCGGTAGATGGCTGTAGTGATCGATATCTCGTAAAGTATCGATCAAACAATTTCAGATTTCTGCTCGTTGGAAAGGTGACATTTCGCACTAAAAAAATTTTTTTGTTGTTTTTTGTTTGGTCCATTCAGTTGTGAGTTACAGGGTGTTAAAAATGGAAGTCAACAAAGAGAAAATTCGGTACATTTTACAGTTTTTCTTTGATAAAGGCGAAAATACAAGCCAGGCGGCTGTAATTGTGAATGGTGTTTATGGTGCCGATACTGTAACAGCCAATTACGTGCAATTTTGGTTTCGGCGATTCCGTTCAGGTATTTTTGATGTTAAAAATGCACAGGATCGGACAATCCGAAACATGTTAAATAAAGTCTTGAAGTTCACGTAAAAATAATGGATTTCTTTTTCCCCAACCTAATACATAGTACGAATTAACTAACGACGAGTTCAACTTACTTATATCTTTTCAACAAATAACTCTCACTTTGGTACCTTGGAAACATGAGGGAATTGGTCCCGATGAATCTCGAAAGCTTATCGATTACGATGTGTCTCTACCATTTCTATCGGAAAGGGAAACTTTGCGAGTTGCGGAACGAAGTTGCGTTTAAGATGCATGAGTACGGAATCGATGGAATCCAGCAGAGAAATGCAGATCTGACGATCGATTTGTATTGAGCGCATCAGTTGACGTCAGTCACAAGACGGATTACAACGCTTTTTTTTTTTCTATGAGTTTCACGACACATCTCGTATCGAGTGGGAAAATATATTTCCTGAATCGCTAAAAGACGAATTCTCTTATTGGATATCAGGAAAAATATATTTCGTCCTGTGGCTAACTGTACATATACGAAAGGAAAGAAAAGAAGAAAACGATCGGTCAGTCACCACTTCCCGACGAAGGCGTTTCCCTTTATAGGACGAATTAAGTCGGGTTTACGGGCTATGTGTCAAGATCTCCCTCTTTACGACCAAGTGACTCCCGTAAACCTAACGGCCAAATGATTCCGCGAGATATTGTACTCGTAACCACGCCTCTTTTTAGCGGTACAAAACGTCACCCGGAAATCGATACTATCGCATATTATTTTTTTTATACTACCGCTGAAAGGTCGTCTTTATATCGTCTTTCTATCCGACGTCGCTTCTTCAAATATGCTGAACATCATGGAAGATAAAATATTTTCACGTTGAATTTATTTGACGTTTAAGATGAAATGCAAAATATTTTATTTCAATCAAGATAAAATCGATCCTGTGAAACATATTAATAGAGTATTAAGAATATTATATAATTAGTTAATCACACACACACAGACTTTCATCCTAAAATTGTTTCCTTCTTTTCAAAATTTCGCCCCATACAGTAAAAAACATTTTGTACTTGTGTTAAAATCAGTCTTTGTTCAAACTTTCATGTTAAACTTTTAACATACTCTTGTGTTAATTTAATATATTGTATTTATATTATCTCAATATATTGTATTGAGTTGATATTCAATATTTATAAGTGTTGAAATAATACATTTTATACTTCAGTATCGATTAATATATAATTTTATGTTAATTTTTCACGTATTTGCATTGAACATATTATATGTAAATGTGTTAAGTTTAACACAAAATTTTTTACTCTTTATCGTCTTAATCATTTATTATTAACTTTCTCCCACATCAGAGAGAGAGAGAGAGAGAGAGAGAGAGAGAGAGAGAGAGAGAGAGAGAACAAACATAAAGAAATACGTGTCTTCTCTTACATCGAGCAACTCTACAACACTTGCGAAGCTCATTAAGGTCGGGAAGAGGGCATTTGTAAACGTTCCTCGGTAAGAGAAGAGGAGATTCTTACGTTCTCTTCCGCTCAAGGATAAGAAAAAGGTGTCCCGGGGAAAAAAGGCGCCGTTAGAAAGGGCTGTCGTTGAAATTCTTAACGTCGGTCGGTCGGGGAGGGCAAAATCTGCGCGATGATCAGCGGCTGAAATCACGGTGCGGAGTACAGTGCGGACATCGCGCTCGAAGAAAATGTAACGCGATAGCGTCTACTCGCTACGGCTCATAAAACCGCTCAGTTTATGCTGATGGTCCGCGTCTCGTCGACATTTTTGCGAAAAACAAAAAGCGGAGAGGAGAGAGGAAAGAGGCGAGACCATGAATAACTAGTACGGTGACGAAGTGTGTAGGTGGATAGAGAGACGAGGAGAAATCGCGAAAATGGTCGGGTCCCGGCCGATCCCGGACTCGATCCTACCGAAATGATTTTGGGCTTGCAGCCAAGCGCGAGCGGCAGGTGTTATCCGTGCGAGATTGTTCCTCCCTATAAATGAATCCCGCACGGCCTTTCAGATACGAGACCAACCTACCTACCTACTGCGTGTGCCTCTTCGCCTCGCTCTCGATCGGGAGAGAAGCACGGTCCTACGTGCCATTGGACGACGAGCGTTCGGATGGCGGCGAGCTTGCAATTTTTAAGTGACCTCGCGCGTGTCGCTCTTCCTGTCGCAAAAATCGCGAACGATAGTCTCGCGGAAGATGATGCACGATGCACGGCACGGAGTACTTAGGGGGAGGCCTTTGTGCGAAATTGAAAATAGACGCGCCATCGTCGCGATATATCATATCGCCGTTTGCGCGTCCAAGGCGTGTCAATTTGTACGGGATTGACGAATTTCGAAATATAAAATAGAAAGTTCGGAAATGAGACTCGAAGGGAATGTTTGGTGTACGATATACAATTGTCTTATTTGGTAATTATCAGGATTGAGTTAATCTCTTTTTAACCAAGTTAAGTTAAAAGTCAAATAAAAAGATACTCGAGAGTTAAGTGAAAATGTGATCAGCTTTATTAAAGTTAAAAGCTGACTCACTTAAACTTAACTAAGTTGAGTTAAAATTTATTAACTTTTAACTTAACTTTTAATTGATTGGTAAGTTACTATTCCGAGAAATTATGACGCGGCGACAAAATAAGCGAAAATAGATCGTCTGTCGTCCAGCGAGCTATTCATTTTACTTCGCGACTTTTAGTCTGTAAAAGACACGCTTGGTTAACGTTTGTCGGACAACTTAATCGCGGTGTGTGTACGTAGAGAAATCGAAATACAAAAGGCGCGGCGTACCGGCGCACCAGATAGGAAGCAACTAAGAGGATTAGTAGCCAAATGGTCGGAGTGGCGGCGGTAAACTGAAATAAATATAGCGAGGGTGCCGCGGGCTAAATGCAATTATACGACTAAGTACTGCGTAATTACCAATGACGCGGGGGGGGGGGGGAAAANGGCGCTCCGCGAGCACTGGTTCTCGTTTAAAGTAGGCTGACAATTCAGAGAGCGTTTCCCCGATCTCGACGTGTCTCGCCGGAAACTGCCTGACCGAACCACGGCGGCCGCTCGGAAATTTGGCTGCCTAAGTCGCGAGAGACGACGGAACGGAAAAGGATACAAAATATGAAGCGGAGCCGTTAAAAGTTGAAGACGCGTTAGCGCCAAACTGTTTCGACGTAATGGCCAAAGTTTCCCCCGCCCGTCCCGCCCGCCACGTTCGTCGCTGCCTTTTATTATTTTATATTTCGCGGCATCGCGCGCGGCCCACACCGCGCCAGTTGGAGATAACAGAAATTATACCTACGTTTAAAAGTGAAACAACTGTTAGAGACGTCGCGAAACTTTAATACTACGGCGATACCGGCCGATTTCATCTTCGCGAGTATCCAGACCTTCGCCTCCGAAGCTAATTCCGCCGCCGGGTCTGTGGTCTGCCTCCGGGTAGACCGGGCCACGCGAACGTTTAAACGCCGGTGTGGAATAAAAGATGAAAAATACTTTTTCTCTCGAGCAGTTTTAGGAAATGGAACTGAAACGACCGGAGCGAGGACAATTGGGGGGGGNGGGGGGAGGGGGACGTCCGCTAAGTGACGGAACCTAATTTCTCGCCGTGCTTCTACATTCTCACTCTCGAAGCTCGATTCGCGGAGGGGGATGGATCTTCATTCGTTTCCTATCGCATGAAAATTCGGAAACATCCTCCCGCTGAAAACGTTTGCCATTCTCGAACGAGAGATATACGTTCCCCCCTCGACCACTCGCTTCATGCGCTATTCACGAGTCTCATTTTCCGGAAAGATGAAATCGCATCCGTCGATTATACGGGCTTTCTCTCCCGGACGGAGGCAACGCGCGTGCAAATGCGGAGTATCGACGAGACGCGCTTCGCGGAGTAAATACGGAGAGCTCGCGATATCAAGGGATGGAGGGGGGTGGGGGGGGAGGG